GGGATAAACCCGGGATAAAACTGGGCTAAACCTGGGATAAAACTGGACTAAAACTGGGCTAAACCTGGGATAAAACTGGACTAAAACTGGACTAAAACTGAACTAAAATTGGACTAGAACTGGACTAAAACTGGACTAAAACTGGACTGAAACTGGACTGAAACTGGGCTAAAACTAGACTAAGACTGGGCTAAAACTGGACTAGAACTGGACTAAAACTGGACAAACACTGGACTAAAACTGGACTAAAACTGGACTAAAACTGGACTGAAACTGGACTGAAACTGGACTAAAACTGGACTAAAACTGGACTGAAACTGGACTGAAAACTGGACTGAAACTGGGCTAAAACTGGACTAAGACTGGACTAAGATTGGGCTAAAATTGGGCTAAAACTGGACTAAAACTGGACAAACACTGGGCTAAAACTGGATTGAAACTGGACTAAAACTGGATTAGAACTGGATTAGAACTGGACTAAAACTAAACTAAAAACTGGACTAGAACTCAACTAAATCAGGACTAGAACTGGTCTAAAACTGGGCTAAAACTGGGCTAAAACTGGACTAAAACTGGACTAAAACTGGACTAAAACTGGGCTAAAACTGGACTAAAACTGGACTAAAACTGGACTAAAACTGGGCTAAAACTGGACTAAAACTGACTAAAACTGGGCTAAAACTGGACTAAAACTGGGCTAAAACTGGACTAAAACTGGGCTAAAACTGGGCTAAAACTGGGCTAAAACTGGAAAAACTGGGCTAAAACTGGACTAGAACTAAATTAGAACTGGACTAAAAAAGAACTAAACCAGGACTAGAACTGTACTAAACCAGGCGTGGAACTGGACCAGAATTAGACTAAACTGGACTAAAACTGGACTAAAATTGGACTAGAACTGGACTAAAACTGGACTGAAGGACCGAAGTGCATTCACACTTGTCTCGGTCCTGACTTGAACCCAGTTTAGTCCAGGTCTAGTCCATGTTTAGTTTCAGTTTACTAGGACTAGACTGAACCTGGACTAAACCTGGACTAAACCTGGACTGTGACAGAGCCGAGGAGAGAGCGGAGGAGTCGGAGCTGAACTTTTCTCACTGACGTCGGTTCATTTTCATTTTTCTCACTGGGTCCATTCATCTTTTCACAAACGTGTCATAAACTCCGGAGTCCAGCCGAGACCAGGATCCGGACCGACCCGGGAAACGGGAAGTACTGGACTCGACCGACGGTTTCCACGACAACCGAAACGGGGCCAAGGGAACGCGACGGAAACACGGGCTTGGGATTTGAACCGGCGACCTGACGGACTCAGAGCGGGAAACACGACAGGAAAAAACAAAAAAAAACAAAAAATAACCAAAAAAAAACAGAGCGGGACTTGAGTTTTAACAACTTGACTAGAACTGGACTAGAACTGGACTAAAACTGGACTAGAACTGGACTAAAACTGGACTAGAACTGGACTAAAACTGAACTAAAATTGGACTAGAACTGAACTAGAACTGGACTAAAACTGGGCCAAAACTGGACTAAACTTCAAGTAGAACTGGACTAGAACTGGACTAGAACTGGACTAAACCTCGACTAGAACTGGACTAAAACTGGACTAAAACTGGACTACAACTGGACTAAAACTGGACTAAAACTGGACTAGAACTGGACTAAAACTGGACTAAAACTGGACTAGAACTGGACTAAAACGGGACTAGAACTGGACTAAAACTGGACTAGAACTGGACTAAAACTGGATTGAAACTGGACTAGAATTGGACTAAAACTGGACTAAGAAAGGACTAAATCAGGACTAAAACTGAACTAAACCAGGACTAAACTAGGACTAAACCAGGACTAGAACTGGACTAAAACTGGACTAAAAAATAACTCAACTTATTACTCTGTCTGTTATTCGTCTGAGTTCCACCTCGTGATGTCATAAAGTGGTACTGTCTCTGTCATTCCTGAGCCGATCCGCTTCTTCAAATTAAAACTGGCCCAAAGTCCAAGCCCAAAGTCGATTCTCGAGTCCTCTGGTCCGGATCTGTCCAGAACTCAACCCAGTCTTTAGAGGGTCTTAAGGGGAGGTCTGTTTGTTTGGATTATGGTCCACAGAGAGGCCCTTTAGTCCCAGAGCAAACAGCAAGACCGGGACTAAAGCCAGACCACAGACCAAAGACCAAAGACCAGAGACCAGAACTGAGACCAGACCAGAGACCAGACCAGACCAGAGACCAGACCAGAGACCAGAGACCAGAGACCAGAGACCAGACCAGACCAGACCAGACCAGAGACTAGACCAGAGACCAGACCAGACCAGAGACCAGACCAGAACTGAGACCAGACCAGAGACCAGACCAGAACTGAGACCAAAGACCAGAGACCAGACCAGAGAGCAGACCAGAGACCAGAGACCAAAGACCAGACCAGAGACCAAAGACCAGACCTGAGACCAGAGACCAAAGACCAGAGACCAGAGACCAGACCAGAGACCAAAGACCAGAGACCAGAGACCAGAGACCAGACCAGACCAGAGACCAAAGACCAGACCTGAGACCAGAGACCAAAGACCAGAGACCAGAGACCAGAGACCAGAGACCAGAGACCAGAGACCAGAGACCAGAGACCAGAGACCAGAGACCAAAGACCAGAGACCAGAGATCAGACCAGAGACCAGACCTGAGACCAGAGACCAGACCAAAGACCAGAGACCAGAGATCAGAGACCACAGACCAGAGACCAGACCAGAACTGAGACCAGACCAGAGACCAGAGACCAGACCAGAGACCAGAACTGAGACCAGAAAAGAGACCAGACCAGAGACCAAAGACCAGAGACCAGACCAGAACTGAGACCAGACCAGAGACCAGATCAAAGACCAGAGACCAGAGATCAGAGACCAGAGACCAGAGACCAGACCAGAACTGAGACCAGAGACCAGACCAAAGACCAGAGATCAGAGACCAGAGACCAGAGACCAGACCAGAGACCAGAACTGAGACCAGAAAAGAGACCAGACCAGAGACCAGACCAGACCAGAGACCAGACCAGAGACCAGACCAGAGACTTATTATTATTATTATTATTATTATTATTATTATTATTATTATTATTATTATTATTATTATTATTATTATTATTACCATCAACAAACCTTTTCTGAAGTTTATTGATTTGTTTGTTTTGTAGTTTTTTTTCTCGCGACACTAGACGGCGCCGTTTCCCGGAACCCGGAGACGCCGACACGCCACTTCCGCCCTGTCCGAGCAGCGTTAGCGTCATTAGCATTAGCACGGTTAGCTCGTGTGTGTTACGTGTTGTTTATTTTCTTTTAAACTTTCACATTTACGGTGAAAACACAAACGCGGAGGAGAAACGGACGTGGCGCCGTCACGCCGCGCGCTCAGGTGATTTTCACTCTCGGGATTTCGATTTTAGAGCTGAAAAACACGGCGCGCTGACGGGCTAACGCGGAGCTAAGCTAACGGGTTTGTTTACATGACACGCGCGTCTAAACCAGGACTAAACCAGGACTGAAACAGGTCTAAACAAATATGGGACAGTTTGAGTCTAAAAACAGACTCAAAGTGTCTGTTTATGCGCAGGAGGGAGAAACGAAGTAGTCCTGGTTTAGACCTGGTTTAGTCCTGGTTTAGTCCTGGTTTAGACCTGGTTTAGTCCTGGTTTAGTCCTGGTTTAGGACAGATCAGTGGTTTTGTATAAATTTGTGGGGACACAGGATCTGGACAGAAAAAACCTTCAGTGTCTTTTTTTTTGTGTTTTTTTTTTTTGTAGTTTGAGCTCAGATTTGTCCTGATGCTGACCTCTGCGTGACCTCTCTGTGACCCCTGCGTGACCCGTGCGGCGGCGATGAGCGCGGAGCCGTGCGTGTACGAGCGTCTGTGGGAGTCGATCGCGGTGCTGCGGGAGTCGGGGCAGAGGTACGGCATGAGCGAGAGAGACATCGAACGATTCATCACACAAGTCCTGGAGACCAACGAACCTCAAGAACAACACAACGCCTTCCCCCTGCTCAGGACCACCGCCAAGGTCAGGACCAGGACCAGGACCGAGGACTAAGACCGGGACCAAGGACCAAGGACTAAGGACTGAGACCAAGGACTAAGACCAAGACTGGACCAAGGACCAAGACCAACGAACCTCAAGAACAACACAACGCCTTCCCCCTGCTCAGGACCACCGCCAAGGTCAGGACCAGGACCGAGGACTAAGGACTGAGACCAAGGACCAAGGACTGAGACCAAGTACTAAGACCAAGACTGGACCAAGGACCAAGACCATCGAACCTCAAGAACAACACGACGCCTTCCCCCTGCTCAGGACCACCGCCAAGGTCAGGACCAGGACCGAGGACTAAGACCAGGACCAAGGACCAAGGACTAAGGACTGAGACCAAGGACTAAGACCAAGACTGGACCAAGGACCAAGACCAACGAACCTCAAGAACAACACAACGCCTTCCCCCTATTCAGGACCAGGACCGAGGACTAAGACTGGGACCGGGACTGAGATCAGGACCAAGGACTGGGACTAGGACTGAGACCGAGACTGGGACAGAGACTGGGACTGGGACCAAGGACTAAGACCAGGACCAAGGACAAGAGAGCAGAGACCAGACCAGAGACCAGACCCAGAGAACAGGACCAGAGACTAGAGACCAGAGACCAGGACCAAAGAGCGGACCAGGACTGGACCAGAGACCAAGTACCAAGGACCAGGACCAAGACCAAAAATAAGGACCAAGGACCAGAGACCAAGGACCAAGACCAGACAAGAGACCAGGGCCAGAGACCAGATCATAGCCAAACGAGGACTTAACTGAGACTGAACTAGGACTTAAACAATACTAAACCAGGTCTAAACTAGGTCTAAACCAGGTCTTGTTGTTGTTGTTGTGTTCAGTGTGCGTTGGGCGTGCTCCTGGTCCTGGTCCTGGTCTTGGTCTTGGTCCTGGTCCTGGTCCAGGTCCAGCCTCTTCCGTC